GCCAGACTCGACCATACCACGTAGCATCCCACTTCCTATTTGTATTTGTGTCTTTTCTGCTACCCCCATTTCTGTGAGATCTTGAAGGACAGAGAGCATGTCTTGGTGGTGTTTTGTATCTCCAATACCAAATCCAGTGCCCAAGAACAATCCAGCAATCCATAAGCGTTTGTGGAACTGAGCTAACGTTCCACATTATGAATGATGTGGAACTTAACCAAATGCCCCTGACAGATGTGCTGAGTTACCAGGTGGTCCGCATGTCCAAAAAATGCACTGACTGATGCCCCTGAATGACTGACGTTGACTCCATACATGGGGGGTAACTTCTCTCCTACGCCCTGACATTTCTCTAGCTGGTTGAGGCAGACATTTACTGAGAGCTCTTCATGTTCCTTCACAAATATTTTTGCCTGCTGCACTTATTACTATAATTCATAATTTATGAAAATTGACAAAATACAAACAAGGAAAGAAAAGGTATTTGCTGTTTCTGTGAAAACAAATTGGAATGTTTTGGAATGTTCCAATAAATGCAAGTTGCTTTAAAAAAAAATCACTGTTGAGTTAGGTGTAGCAAGACAATTTAATTAAAACATTGCAAAGACAAGTATAAAAACCCAGAAAGATTAAGTTGCTTTGCAGTAACCTTTAAATTCTCGCTCCACTTTAAAGAGAGAAAAATTAGAATTAGTAGATAGTATTTTGGGGATTAGTATATACAAGAAAAACATGGGACTTCCAATTAGTGGAATGGCTTTGGCTTTACAGCAAAAGTCTGACAGGTGAGTGAATATACATTAATATGTTTTACCTTTAAAATATCTGTTTACTGTCATGCACAAACACAAAAGCTTTATTATTATATTTCCTTGTTTTAACTAAAGAACTATTGGTCCAATGATGCTATCTAAGAGGGCTTAACGAAAAATAGAAAAAAAGGACTCCACTTCCTGGCTATAAATAGGTAAGTGCATTTCAAAATTGGGAATTCCAGAATACTGAAGATCTTTTAGGTCCCAAAGGAAAGACTGGTGGAAATTGATACAATGACAGCATTCAGTGAGATTCCTCAGAAGTCACTGTGCCCCTTACAGGCCATTCCAGTCTTTACCAGGAGGTATTAAGCATGGAAAGTCACAAGGGGAAGGCGAGATGGAAACTTACTTCTCCATTTCAGAAAAGAAATATAAATCGTTGACCGCAAAGTTGACAATGACAATCCTGTGGCCAAAGATGCGTCGCTTTGTAAGGATTATATCTTCATTCTCCTGTTCTGGACTCCGGACATTTGAGTGATATGGTGTTTGGCGTCCTGACACGTTTGGTGATGCAGAAATATCTGAAAGAGAGAAGAATTAACATCTAGCTTGGTCAAGTCGCTCGTAAGCCTGAAGCCTTTGACCTGGGCATAGCTAAAATGAAGAAAAGAAACTATGGACCCCCGCTTTGGACCTATTGAAATAGTGATTTCCCACCACTGGATTCAACCTTTCACTTGAACTTGAAAGACTGCTGAAAAAGCCATCTTCTCAGATGGTATAGCAACATACATTCACCCTCCCAAAATCAACCGAGTATTGAAAGGTGTTTCCTGGTGCTTGTGTAATAGAAATAAATGCTCACTGTAGTTATGCTAATCCCTAACATTTCTGCAGAAACTGAAGATGCAGAGGTGACCTGCAAAATGGACTGTGTGGTTCTATTGATGCTTATTCAAGGTTTATCAGGGAAGTAACTGAGAAGTAAACTGGGAAAGCAGCACAAAGAAAAAACCAAAACATGAAGAGTAAAAAAGAAGTTTATTAAGTGACAGAGGGTAGGAAGCCAGAGTAGAAAAAAGACAGGAATGAGTAAAAAAAAAACCATAGAAGATTCTAGAGGGTTTGGATTGTGTCTCAGAAAACTAAGACAGGTATTTCAGAAAGTTTCTTGACTAGCATACATTCTAAGAAATCCACTCACAGGGATTCAGGGCTGAGAAGAAACAGTTTGGGGCTGGATCTGACAAGTAGACCCCTAGTTAATTGCCTGGCTGGGTTTAAGAAAATTGTCTAATCCAGCTCTAGGATTTACTCTTCCTCCTATAAATCCTTTATTCCGAATAGTTGTTCAGGAATAATTGATGTGGGTGTGGTGCTTCCTATGGTGCAAGTGGGATTCCTTTTGATGAGAAGGTATCTACAACATTTGATAAACACCTAGCACCTATTGTGTCCCAGACGCTAGGCTAGGTCCTGGGGTTCCAGCACTGAATAAAACATGAGGTCGCTCCCAAGTATCTTACAGTCTTTCTTTGTCTCTGAGACTTGTGTTTGAAGGGAGCAAAACATCTGAATCACAGTGGAAGTTGATGTGATAGTCAGGGACTTTAGGGAAAGAGGATGTTGAATCCACCCAAGAAATCTGTTAGCAGTGATATGTTTATAAATGTTCTCCGGTAGGGGAGTGGGAGGCCTGATTTTTATTATTTGCCAATTTCTATAGGAAATACTCCAACCATGGTTGATGTTAAGCTATCGGTGGTTTGGCAACTGGCTCACAAAATACCTGAATGTTTAACTGTTGCCTCTCAGTTGGGCTAAGGTCATCAGGTTAGATTTTTTATTTTTTTCAAAGCAAGACTCAACTACATGCTGGTTATAAGAAAAGGACTTTAAATGCAAGGTATAACTAGGGTATGAAGAAAGGAATGGGAAACGATATGCATGCTAACACTGACAAAAGGACAGCTGGAGTGGCTATTTTAATATCAGGCAAAGTAGATTTCAGAGAAAAGAATATTGCCAAGGATAAAGAAGTTCCTTTCATAAGAATAAATGGGTCAATTAATTGAAGGACATAACAATTCTGGAAAAGGCTAGCCTATAGTGATAGAAAGCAGACCACTGGTCAGGTAGATGTCCCCTTGAGCTGCAGAAGCACCCTTGTTCTTGGGCTCACACACACTGCCAAGGATGCAGGAAGTCAAAGGAGGGTGAAATTGGACTTCCTACAGCCTGGGCAAACATGTTTGAACTGGTTTTATTTAAAAGAAGAAACGGAAGAGCTAGAGCTATTCTTAAAATGTTTGGTTGTGAAGCAGTTCATAAAAACATACATACAAAACCTTTTTGCATTGCAAATTGGAAAACAGAAATGATAATACTGAAATTCCAATAGAAAAATAGAGAAAGGATATAAACAGTTCAAAAAAGAATACACACGACCAATAAATAAAGGTGCTCAATTACTAAAGAAATGTACATAAGAACGGTACATCATTTTTCATCTACCAGATTGGCAGTTTTTAAAAAGTGGATAATACCCAGTGTTGGTGACAATATGGCACTCGTTTATACTGTTGGTGAGAAGACAATCAGTGCAACGTTTTAGAGGGCCACAATTGAACCATTTTAAACCATTTACACATTCCTTAAAAAAGGAATTTTAAAGAATTTATTTCGTAGAAACACTCAATTGCAAAATACGTATATTTTACAGAATTTAAAAAATACATTTTTTTCAGTTACAGTTGACATACAATATTATTTTATATTAGTTTCAGTTGTATAGCATAGAGCTTAGACATTTATATAATTTATACAGTGATCCCCCCAATTAGTCTAGTACCTACCTGGCATTATACATAGTTGTTGCAACTTTATCGACTATATTCCTTATGCTGTATTTTACATCCCCGCGTGACTATTTGTACCTATCAATTTGTACTTCTTAATCCCTTCACCTTTTTCACCCAAACCCCCAACGCCCCACTCCCCTCTGGCAACCATCAGTTTTCTGTATCCATGAGTCGTTTCTGTTTTGTTTGTTTATTCTGTTCTTTCGATTCCACATATAAGTGAGATCTTAAAGTGAAAGTTGGAACAACTCAAAAGTCATCAAGAGAGATGAGATCTGTCACTACGGATCCCTCCAGTCTTATCGCAGACACGTCCCGTCTCACTAATCTCTAGTCCACTTGGCCCTGAGGCTCCTGAATTGCACCATCCTCTTTCTTATTTTAAGGTTCCATGCAGACCTAGAAATCGCTCCCCTTCTATTTTGCCCACCTAACTTGTTCATTCCTGAAAACTCAACTTTATGTCGTTTTCTGGGAGAATTCCTCCCTGATCCTCCCCCTGGACTAATTAGGGTCTCCCTGCAATTATCATTGGGATCACTCCTCACAACCAGTTAGTAACAGCAAGAACACTAGCTAATCTTTCTACAGCACTTACTATTGCCAAGAATAGTTCTAAGATGCTTTATACGTATTAACTTGCTTAATCCTCACAACAACCCTAGGGGAGAGACACAATTATTATTTCCATCCTACAGATAAGGAAACTGAGGTACAAAGTCACTTTCACAAGGTTCTTCAGTTAGAGAGTGGCAGATTCAAACCCAAGCAATCTGGCTGCAATATCTATGGCTCTAATTTTGTCTTGCTCTCAAAACTGTAGGTGCCTCGATGGCAGGTCCTATGCCTCATGTTCACTACTGTAATCCCAGCACCCCACAAAGTGCCTGCCACATTCTCAGAAAGTGTGTTAAATGAATGAATGAATTTAAGAAATCTCTACTAGAACAAACAACATAAGTAAATAGTTTCGTGAAATGTGAGATCTCACAGTGCTTTAATCATTCCCCACCCTTTCTGGCTCCCCAAGCAGAAGCCACTGGGGGTCCCACCCTCTCTTGGCAGGTCTGGGCTTGATTTTGCACCCAGGATCTGGGGTTCTTGCTAGACCCCAGGCAAACACAGGCGTGGCTCAAAGCAATAGTTCTGCAGCTTTGTACCTGGGCTAACCCTGGTGATTGAAATGGCAACAGGGGTGGCCGGGTGGCTCAGCTGGTTAGAGCGTGTGCTCTTTTTTTTTTTTTTAA